TTTAATAGTTGGATAATAAAATATGCATTTTTGATGGATTGAACTTTGAGCGGGTTCTTGTTTACCAGTAGAAGCTGGGAATATGATGTCGTTAAGTCACTCTCTCTATATGATGATAATGATGCTAAGTACAACCTCTAAAAGAAAGTACTTTTTCTTGCCCCTTCTTTGGTACAGAATAGGAGTCTTTCTGTGCACTTTGGTAAGGTGAATAGCTGCTGACTTTTCATGTATTTAATATGTAATATGAGGCTGCAGTTCACACTCACTGGTACTTTTTCTGTAGATCAAGTGGCCCCTCATTACCTGGTCAGCAGGGAGGCAGCATAAAACAAGGTTATGGGCTGTCGGAGTTTGAACCCCAGCTCTACTATTTGTAGGCTGTGTGACTTAGGGCAAGTTACTTATCCTCCCTGTTCCTTAGTTTTCTCATCCGTAAAACGTGGATAAAACTAGTGATTTTCTCATAGGGCAGTTTATGCATTAGATAAATATAAAATAATTCAAATGAGTTCTAAACAAAGACACTTCAATAAATGGTGGATATTCTCTTCTCCTTTCCCTCCTTTTTATCAGCATCATTATTTTCATGTTTTACTTTTATCCTTTCTCTCTTCAGTGTGGAAACCTCTCAAAAAGCAAAAGTTCCACTGTGATATTTATCGTGTCTCCATCTAACATATGTCCCATACTTACTTGTAGTTGCTTAATGAATGTTTATTGATTATTTTGTAAGTCTTTTTCCCTGACCTATAAATAGATGGTAAACATTTTTACTCAAGACTATGCCCCAGGCATTGCTTCAAGAAACAGCAGACCTTTGTATGCAGTAGTTGTACAGTAACACTTTATTATTTAAATAATTTATTGCTCAACTATACCAACTAATCTATTTTATCACATCATCGCGTGCACCTATTATGTACTAGGTCTGAACTCAAAACTGTGGAGTTGGCCCCTGCCATCAAGAAGCCCAAAGTCTAACTAACATCTTTTGTATTTGTAATGTGCTTAGCATTTTGCTAGTCTTCTACTTTTAGCACAGAGAAATTAGAAAAGACTTAAGCTACCTGTTTTGGGCTGGTAAACTTCCAGTTTAGGGAGCAGTGTTTTTCTGGTCTTATCAATTTCAGTAATATCTGTATAAAAAGGAAATTTTATTTTGTGGGGGAATTCTGAATTTAAATATTCTATGCAAATCATACAGTTCAGGCCTGTTTGTTAGAGTAAATTTGTCAGCCTGATTGGACTTCCTGCTCGCTTCTTCCTTCATCTTGGTGAAATCAAGGGCAATCGGTACCAGTGTGTCACTAAGAAAGTGTACAGTGGTCCAGTTACCAGTGATTACATCAGAGACGTCTGGTGCAAACTGAGGTCTGAAGGCGCCCTTCCCGTTTCTTTCCCTCCCTCTCACCTCCACCTTGTATTCTCACTCTTCTGTCTACTCCCTTCCTTCTGTGAAAATAAAGGCATTCTCCATGGCCCCAAATAAGATTCACCATGGAACACTTTTTGACAGAAAAAGAGGTAGCTGCCTTAGGGCTCATGACAACTCCTGTTTGCAGTTATTATTAATTATCTCAACCACACACTTAAAATCTGTTTCCTAACTAGGTTAAATAATGAACGCACGGTTTCCACGAGTTAGCTAGGATTTCTGTCTCATTGGAGGTACCAATTCCCTGCTTTATTTTTTTTTCGTAGCCTAATGTACTATCTGAAATTTTGTTATACATTTTTACACTTACCTGTTCCTTGTCTATTTAACCCACTAAAATTTAAACACCATGGGAGAAAGGCTTTATTATATTGAGTTTACTACCATATCCCTGGTACCTGAAACAGCATTGGTGCATAGTCAGTACTCAATAAATACTTGTTGAATGAATGAATATACATCATTACCAAGTGTATGAGATGCATTCTACCTCTTGTTTAAGAAAACAGGAGCGGCAGCAACAAAAACAAACACACCAAGAAAGGTACTATACGTTTCTTCTCCATTCCTTCTCACATGCAGCCTGTCAGCAAGTCTGAGTTCTGTTTTCAAATATGTCTTGAACCTGACCATCTCCATCTCCATCTCCATCTCCATCTCCATAGCCAAGTCTAAGCCACTGTCATTTCCTCACATGGAGAACGGCGAAAGCCTGGCATCTCCGTGTCCTTCCGTTTCAGTCCGTTCCTCTGCACAGCAGCAAAAGGGATTTTCTTCAGTTTGAATTGCATGGTGTCAGTCTTGTACTTAAAATCCTTCGAACCCAGAACTCACAGCTGGTCATCCAAACTGGCTCCCAGGCATTTGAGACCCAGCATGACAAGTTCTCTCTTTCCTTCTCAATGTCATCTCATACTTTCCTTTTCTTAGCCTGCCATGTTCCATCTGCATTGGTTTTCCATCAATGCCTAGAATGTGCCAAATTCTTTTCTACCCCAGGGCCTTTGCATAAGCTGTCCCCTCAACCTGGAATTCTTTCCCCCTCTATTCCTTTCCTACCTTTAGGTTGAGACATCACCTTAGCAGAGGTATCTCCTATCATTTCCATCTGTATTCCCCCATCCCCATTCTGTTAAACTCTCTGTCCACCCTCTTTGGTTTCCCTTCATTGCCCATGTTACAGCCTATAATTATTTGCGTTCCCTTCCTGTCTGCAACACCATAGTATAAACTGCAAGAGGGGAAAGGCAGTGGCTGTTTCTGCACCGTTGTCTTCCCAGTACTGAGCACTGAGCTGTTAAGTAAATTCCAAGAAGGTGTTCGTATTAGTTTCCTATGGCTGCTGTAATAAATTGCCACAGACTTTGTGGCTTAAAACAACACAAATTTATCATCTACAGTTCTGAAGGTTAGAAGTACAAAAGGAGTCTCACTGGTCCAAAATCAAGGTGTCACAGGCTCTGGAGGCTCTAGGGGAGAACCATCTCCTTGTTCTTTTCATCTTCCATCTGTAGAGGCTGTCTTCATGCCTTGTCTCATGGCTTCCGTTCTCCATCTTCAAAGCCAACAGTGTCGCTTCTCTGTGCCTTTCTTTCAAGCTACTTATTCCTTTGACTCATAGTTATGTATGCCTTCCACTTTTATGGACTCTTGTGATTACATTGGGCACACCTGTATAATCCAGGCTAATCTCAGTATTTTTAAATCAGCAGATTAACATTTTTCATTCCACCTTAATTCCCCTGGGCCACGTAATTTAACATATTCACTGGTTCCGGGGATTAGGAGGTGGACCTCTTGAAGGACTATTATTTTGCCTCAAATAAATAAATGGCCAACTAGTTTGGAAGTTCTTTGTGGGCAAATGGCTGCATTTAAATTTCTTTTGTTCGTTCTTGTGCCTGAGCAAGCCAGGCCAATACTCAGGCTAAGTAATTACTATAATGGGTGCTTTCTGATTCCCAGAGGAATACAGCAGACTCAGAGAGAAGTTCTTTTAATTATCAGCCTCAGAAGAGGACCTGGAGACCCTAAGTTACTAAGTGAAGAGGGTTTCAAGATCTAATTAAATATCTAATATTCTTTGGAAGGCATGAGATTTATACTTGGTGCCACTGTAACTGGCACGGTTTCTCCTGGAATGACAAATGTGGGCATAATAAACGTTTGCACATACGGTGATCCCAAGCAAGGTGATTAATTTCTGGGAGATTAATATAGGGATTCTGAAGGCCATCTTTTGCAATCAAGTGGGCCGCTCTTGCCTTGAGCTGGATTGAATTCCAGCTTTGGAGTGGAAAAAAATATGGTGAGAGATATTTCATGAACAAATGGTGGCACGCTCACCTATGAGACGAATGAGTGGAATGAAGTAATGTGTTTGCTGAGAAAAGCTGCAGATGCCCAGCCTCACATAACTTTACATGCTTTTCTGAAGGACTGCACAGCAAAGACATTCAGTTGCAAGATGAGTTTTTCTTCTCAGAAGAGACCTCGTGTTTAGCTGTCATATGTCAGGCTATTTTTAGTGATGGTGCTTTAAAAACTTAAGGAGCCTATCTCCCCTTACCAGGCTCCAGCACAGGGTTGCTATGCAACAGGCCCATCTCCCTGGTGCTTCTCACATTCTTTTTCTCCCTGATATTCAGCAAACTGGACCTTGGCTGAAACCAAACAGCAGAGCCAAGCCATTTCAGGTGAAGAAAGAACAATGGCTTTGGAGTCTCGTGGACCAGAGTCCTGGCATCCCCTATCCCCAGTTGTGTGGCTCTGGGAAAATCTCCGAGCCTCAGTTTCACTGTGTGTAAAATGGGGATGTTATTAGTATCTTACTCATAAGATTATTGTGAGAATCAAATCAGATTTTACAGGTAAAACACTTAAAACATGGTTTTACAAAACAGGTCTGTTTTCATTTGCACAAAATAAGTGTTATAAAATCGTGTGTAAAATTAAGGAAATCCTATTGATTAATGCTTTGGTGGCCCTCTACCTCTTATGTTCATTGGAATCAATCACGAGATAATTTTCTATGCTACTAGTTAACATTTGTGAGTGTACAGAGCCCTGTGACTGAATGGCTTTGCCATCTGAGCATAGCTGAAAAGCCCTGAGCTTTCCTCTTGAGAATGAGGTCCTGGTTCCTCTATGTGTGTTTTAGGGCAATTGGGACAGAGGTCTGGGAAATCCCTTAGTGAGACATGGGCGACGTCTTCGATTCTCATCTAGGACTGATAGTCTTGCCTGCCTGCCAATGGGAATAAACTTGCACAGCTATAGAGCTCTTCGCCATTTACAAAAATGCTTTCACACAGGCAGTGACACTTACCGATTGCTTTCTATGTACCAACAGAGTGCCGTTTACTTAAATATTATAACGTTTAACCTTCACAACAAACCTATGGGAAAGGTACTGTGCTATTATAACAGAGAGGCCAAGCTGCTTACCTGAGGGTGCTCAGCTAAGAAGTGCTAGACGCAGGATTTGTAACTGGGGATGTTTAAATCGAGGCTCCACATTCTTAACCATGACCTCCCACTCTCTTCCATGTGGCGTTCACAGAAGTGCTACCCTATGGACAGGAAATGTCATAGTCACTCTGCTTTGAAACAGAGGAAGCAGGGCCTTAGAAAAATGAAGTGATCTGAAGGTAAGTGGAGAGCTACAATTAGAAGCCAGGTTTTGGACATTTGGAATAGTGATCCTTCTGCTCTTCTACCTTGCTCTATGAAGTGTTTTGGAGCGGGACCATTTTAGACTCTTTATGAAGGAATAAGGGACATTCTTATGATCTATATAGCTAGTTCAGACTGCACATTTGATTCTTCTCTGGTTTCTCTAATTAGATTAAGATGTCTGTAATAACTAACCTTGGCCAGCAGTTAGTACATCAGATGGGTACATGCCTTTAACATGGAGCTTTGCAAACTGTGATATACATCCAGATCTCCTCTGGGACTCTGTTGTGCAGAATGTCTTTCTCTAAGCCTAAGGAAAGGCCTGCAACTCTGCATTTCTGGCTAGTTCCCAAGTGAAGCCAATGCTGCTAGTTCTGGGACCATGCTCAGAGGAACAAAGTTTTAATTTTGTATATGAGTAAAGGACTTTTGTGAGTTGACTAACAAGAACATATAGTCTGAGAGGTTTTTATTTCTATTTTTTTCTGTTTTATTACTCTGATACAGACTCATTGACCAAAATTTGGGTCTTTGGACTCAGAAAAACGTCTTTGAAATCTCAGCTGGGGGGGCTGGGTGGAGGAAGAGAGAGGCAAAGAGAGAGAGAGAGAAAGAGAGAGAGAGAGAGAGAGAGAGAGAGAGAGAGAGAGAGAGAGAGAGAGAGAAAGCGAGAAAGCAATCCAGGTTATACAATCAGTCTGAGATATTGTCCCAGCCTAGGAGAAGACCCAGAGGTGGGAGGCCACAACTAGAGATATTTATGCTAGAGTCTCCCCCAGTGAGGACAGAACAAGAAGTATGTGTCTGTGTGTATATAAGTGAGTGGAGTGGGGGAGAAAGGTCATTTTAGAATAAATGCAAGGAGGTGGAGTTATGGAATGCCACTGGAAAGGATGATTAAAGATCCCAATTCTAGTTCTGATTTTGCCAATAACAATATGGCCTTCAGGGCCACCTCTTGTTCTAACTTGTTTGGTATGATCCTTGGTAAACCATATTTTCCCGGCTCTCATCATGTCCCGAAGGCCTATATCCGGAGTGTCTGTATGTCGTGGGTTTTCTGGAACGGTTCTCATTTCAATATCCTATCTTGGTGTCCAGCAATGTGCCAGGTCTGTACCACAGCTTTGGTTTTTAAGAATATGGCCATTATAATTATGCCCCAGCAAGAACATATAAACAGTTGATTTGCTTAATTGATTCCTTGTGTATCTCGGTAGTTCTTAATTTTGGGAGGTGAGGAGTCATGAGCTGTCTTTCTATGTATGACTTATGAGTATGCCACCCAACACTCTGGCAATTTCATTTCTGCCCCTGCTGAAGAGCATAGGTGGTTTTTACCTATGGAGACAGTGTATACGCATGGGCTTGTGTATATTCTGAACAGCAGTGTTTAATTTTGTCAAGTCATGCTTTTCCATTTAATACATTAAGATCCTTTTCTCCAAAGACATCAATTTGCTTGGGATGTGAGTTGTTCTTGAAAGAGAGAGACAAGGAGAGGGGGAGAAAAAGATATAGTCCTAAAAGATGAATAAACAGCTTTTCTAAAAGAAGAATATTCATCTTTATAGACAAAGTTTATAGAGCCAGAAGGGACCTTTGAGATCCTCTCGTTTGGGAGGCGGAAACTCTATGCCTCAGTAACAGGTAGGCAGCATCCGTGAGCGAAATCAGCCTGTCGTGTCATTTAAACAAGACACGCCCTGTTTGCATATGACTTATTTAGAAATAGTCTTCAGTTACACAAAAACATATTCTCTTTGCCACTTTTAGTGAAGCAGGTGGCTTTCATAGTCTCTCTGCCCCTATACATACTAGTTGGAAAATGAAATGGTTCTCTACAACAAGACAATAGAGTAATGTGAATATAAATGAAAAATAACTTCTGTCTCAATATCAAGGACCAGAGTGAGGAGTGTGGAGATGGTGACAAACTGGATTGCCAGGGTCCTATCTAAAATGGGTAGCAGGTACACAGCTGTAACAGCTATGTCCATGAGGAATGCAGATGTAGTGGCCAAATCTTCTGATTTTTCAGGAGAATCTGGAAGTCTGGAATTTAAGTGGAAATCTCTTGACTTTAATAATCTTGGCTATGTTGGGGTTTTTTTTGTTTTTGTTCTCTCTTTTTTTTTTTTTTAAATACTGTGAAGCCCAAAGAAAACATTTCTGCAAGCCAAAGCCTACCAGTTGGCTGCAAGTTTGTTATTTCTGATCTAGTCCAGCTACCTCGTTTCGCAGGTCAGGATGCTAAGGAGAAAAGTGACATCTGTATATACTTACTGAGTGGAAGTGTTAGAGGATTGAAGCCAGATCTCCTAATTTTCAATTTATTTCTATTCCCATTCTACCATGCTGCTCCATGAATTTCATTCCGTCTAGCCATTTTGACTTTGCATTAAAGGCAAGCAACACCCTTAAATTTAAACTATATGCATGGGAATATGAAGATTGAAGACATTCTTTAATGAAGTGCCAAAGGTTCAAGGATCTCTTAGGTGGGATTTAAGTACATAGCAATCACGCTATTTCTGGCAATAAGAACAAGCACTAAGAATCCTTAACGCAGCTTTCCTCTACACTCAACCACAGCGTGCTGTTCCCTGCAGATATTTTGTTAGAACATACTGTGTTTGGAAAGTCATTAAGCCATAAATTAATCTTATCCTAAAGCATCTTATACTGAATTTTTTCAAGTAAAGTAGTTTTGGTAGTCTGAAGCCAGAAGCTCTTGTAGGCCACAGAATTGTTTTATTGCCCAAAACTTACAGAATAGTTCTTCAGTCTGATAAAATCCATGGAAATGGGCAAGGATTTGTCAGTATTTCACGTTAGGGCTTTAATATGGTCTGATGAGTCGATAGGGAGGACATAACCTCCACTGAGGACACTTGGAACAACAAGGCACCGACTCTTCATATCCTGCATGATCATTCTGGCCAGGTGTTCAGCCTCGAGAAGATAAACAAAAAAGTGAAAATTGTAAGAATATTCCTTTCAAATATCAGAATGAGCGAGAGGAATTCATGCAAAAAGTAAGGTAAAGGGAAAATAACCTAGAGCCACTGTCCTCAGGAGATGATTAGGATAGGGCCAGTGGGACTCTGGCTATCAGAAGCAAATGGAACGACTTTTCTACTGCAGTAGGTTAATTGTGAAGATGTCTGGTTCATGATCAGGAATGGCCTTAACTGTAAGGCCAATCTTTTTCGCCAGCTTAAGGCTATATACATCCAAGCTCTTTTTATTTTTAATTTATTAAATGCTTACTATGTGTCAGGCACAGTATTAAGACTGAGAAAAGATACACCTGCACATATCCCCGTGATTCCCAGGTTTCTTGCTCCACTGCATTGCTGAAGCATCTTCAGTGGACTCCTGAGCAATACCAGACCTATTATTCTTCGTGAATAGCTGTCTAATTGTTGTTCTTTGTTGGGGGACAGAAGTTGGGGTCTCCTACTCTTTCATTTTAGTCCTAACCATCCTGCTTTGAAACAGATAAGCGCAATGGCCAAACTGGGAAATCTGCTCAGAGAAGGATATCGTCAGAGTTGGGTAAAGTTATCATTTAAGTCTACGGCCATGCTACCCCGAACAAGCCCGATCCCATTTGATCTCAGAAGCTAAGCAGGGTCGGGCCTGGTTAGTACTTGGATGGGAGACCACCTAGGAAGACCAGGTGCTATAGGTGTAAAAAATAAAAAAAATAAGGGATTGTAAGCTGACAAGGTCCTTGCAATCTGTGAGGTCAGCCAAGGGTTGCCTCTCCTGAAAAATTAAAAAATGATAATGATAAAAAAAAGTATTTAATAGTTTTCAAACTTAAAAAATCAACATAGCAATTTTTAAGTGCTGTCTTCTGAGAAATCGTCATCTATAAGAGGTAACCTGGTTGGTGTGGAGTGGTGACGCAGAGCTCAGGAGTTGACTGCAGTTTCCCAGGCTAGAAATCAGTGGAGGGAAACAGGTTAGGAGGGCAGCATTGGTAGAGATGGAGAAGAATGGGCTCCAGAGATACTTAGGAAGTAGAATCAATAGTGCTTATGTTAGATAGAAGAGGGGCAGAGGAAAAAGAAGGAATTGCTAAGAGGCCTCCCAGGCTTCTGGCTTGTGCAGTTGATTGCATGGTGGCGTCATTTACTGAGACGGGGAAGCCTTGAGGAGGACATGTGGCGGGGGAAGTCCATAAGTTCAGTTTTGGATACACTGAATTTGTGATGTCGAATGGAGATGTCAAGCTGTATATCCAAACGCAGGAAAGTTATGAAAGTCAAAGAGGAAGTCAGGGCTAAGAATGTAAATCCTGGCATATTCAGTTTGCAGACTGAACTTAGAGTTGTGGGCATGGATAAACTCACCTCATAAAAGGTTATAAAAGTCCTGGAGAGTAGAGTTTCCCAGCCTTGGTACTGTCAACATCCTGGGCTGGATAATTCTTTGTTGTGGGGGGTGCAAGGGGAGCAGAAGAAGCCAAAGGTACCACTTTGGCATATGGATTATTTTGAGATGAAAGCAATTAAGACCCAGCAGGCTCAGGAAAAGCTTTTTACCTTCCCCTTCACTGCCCCAAAGAATTAAGATAGTGGGCCTGTATCACCAGGAAGAGAGCTATTAGCAGAGATAACTTTTTATATTAGAAAAGACTTATGTACATAGCAGCAAACATCTGTTTACCAAACATTTGCTCTTCTCATATTCCTGTGAATTGTCTTCCTCCCCTTTGAAGCCCTAGAATTCTACCCCTTCTCCATAGCTAAGGATGGTATACAAGCCTTGATTGTCTGACTGCCCTTGAGTCTCATATTTTTAGGGGGCTCCCATATGTATGAAATTTGTTTTTCTCCTTTTAATATCTCTTATTTAATTATTAGACTAGCCAAAAAACCTAGAAGGGAAAAAAGGGACCATTTTTTCTCTCCACACCCACCCTGTGCATTGTAGGATGTTTAGCAGATTTCTATACACT